AATAGAAATAAAAGATTTGGTTCAGAATTAGGGTATTTCGACTAACAAATTAGCGTTAAATCCTAATTCTGGTAACAATAGTATGAAATAAATTACAGTGTAAAGACATATTTTTCTAGCCCAGTCCACAATGCAGATCTATTCTATATAAATGCTTTGAGACCCATCTCTATGGTCTAGTTTATATTTAAATCAAATGGGTAAAAGCTGAGCTTTGTACATCGTCTTTTAAGTTGTGGATGCTTGGCATAGAATTCCTCTTCATTATGATATGGTCGCTTTGATACAATATCCCGTGCAGTATGTTCACCAACACCAGGAATAATAGAGGTCATCCTTTTTGGCTCTGAAAAATTAGGATTTATGTCCTTGGTAAGAGAAAATGTGGCATGTGATGAAAACACTGGGCCAAAGTATGTCCCAAGATTCTCTTTTGCAATAAGTAGGCAATGGTCTGGTAACTCTGAAGGATCACCATAATATGGTTGTGTAGTATAAAAGATCATGATAGGAACATATTGTAGGAGACCATTTGGAGATTTCAACTTCAGAATATTTTCAATGTTCTTGATGGATTCCTCTAAAACTTGATACAATGTAAATTCTTCTGAGTTATAGTCCCACTTGTCTTGCTCAATTATGAGGAGCTTGGAACCATCAACAACTTCTCTAACAACAAATGAATCCCCAAACTGGGCTGATTTACCATTGATAACCAAGACATTCCCTTCTTCCCAGTCAATCATTTGGTTATCAGTTTTTTTTGTTAACTTTAATGATGGGAATTGCTCATTGGCCTGGTAGACAGAGAGTTCTTTTAACTTCACAACAATATCCAATGTACTGTTTTTTCCATAGGCACCATGGTATAGTTCTTGCAGATGCAGTGTTTGTATTTCACGTTTGATGAATAAATTGGTACGAAACACCTCATGATGTGCAACAAACTGCTCCCACTCCTGCCAATACATGATATTATTAGTGTAAAATGTTTTTTCAAGTGGTCCTTGTACAATGCGTAAGATGTTATTGTAGATGCAGAGAAAAAAAAAAGGCATTTTAATGAGGAACTGGTCAAATGTATCATCATAATGTTTGAGAATTATATGTGAATCACTCTCTAAGTTTTCAATGGTGTGAATATGGTCATTTGGATCTAGACATTCATTTGTGCTAACAGGAATTTCTTCAATACAATGATATATGAGTTCCAGAGCAAGATGCTTATTGTCTTTTATAACTGTGTGAATGTTGTAAAGAGAATTGAGTCTCTCAATAGTGGTTTGAAAGATTTTGTCATAAAGTTGATCATGAATAGTATGAAAGAATGTTTCTTCACAATTGTTATAACTATGAAAACAAACATCAAGAAGGTGTTGAAGTGCACGAGGTAATCCTCCAGTGTCCTCAATAAGCTGAAGGAACTGGTAACAAAGCTTCCATTTGTAATCACCTTCATCAAAAGTTTCTGCACCAAATTTTTCAGCATAATAATCAACAATCTGAATCATAGACATGATCAATAGCATTGGACACTTTACAAATCTGAATGAAACCTTTGATGCCTCTTTGGTTCTGATGATAGCTTGGGGGGCAGTTCCTGAAAGGAATGTTTGGACAAAAGTATATTTTGGTGGGCCAAACATGAATGTTGCAAGGTCATTAATCATATTCTTAAAGAGATTTTTTGTTGGGTTTGTTCTGTCTTCATCCCACTTATAAATTAGCTGGAATTCATCAACATGGAGAAATACAAAGAGTTGTTGAGTGTTTTGTAGTGAGAGTTTTTTTCGAAGGCTTACAAAAACATTTTCAACCTTGAATATATTAATGTAAGGCCAAGCCTGATCCCGAAAAAGTTGAAACCCTACTTCATATTTCCCTGCAACAAAAAACTCATAAGCAATCCGTAATCCAATAATTACTGTGGTTGATAGTTGGTAGTCATATTCATCAAGTTTAATACTATTCCCAAAATCCAGATAAAGGTATTCAAAATGTGGCTGGCAGTTGTTGGTTGTCCATTGGGTGGGCAAAACCCATCTTGTTTGGATGAAATCGAAAAGCTCCCTGCCAAACCGGGTCTTACCTATATGTATGGATTTATAAATAGATGAAATTTACATAATTTATTTTGAATAGTACAAAAGGATCCATACCAATGCCAGGAGCACCACCACTAACAAGGATGTGAAAATCTGTCTTGCCAGTCAAAGCTTTAAGGTTATTAGAAACATTTGATGTGATAGTAGCCATTGGTTCAGTAAAGTCTTGATCCTTCAATGGCATCTTTAGTATATCAGGCTGTTTAAGTGGACTAGGTATGGCATCTTTCAAGATGATCCCAATAACGTCTTCAACTGGTGTTTAAAAGGAGACAATTAATTAGAAAACTGAATGAGTACAGAAAGATATTGAACTATTTTGCGCACATTCTTACGTGTTTTCCCCATATTTTGTCCTAGCCAACAAGATTGCATGTTAGCATTTCAAAAAAAATATAACAAAATATTACCAACGGAAAAAGCAATATAGGTTTAGAATATTCGAATGCAGTTTAAGAAATAAATGAAATGAAGTAGAAAGTAATGTTAAAGTTGTGAGTAGTATATCAAATAAATAAGTAAACAAACGAAATAAAATGAACGAAAAAAAATTTTTTTTTTTTTACGCAATTTGTCCATTACCTTTCTCTCCACGTAATATCTCTTGATACAACACCTCCCAATTCTTCTTTGTCTCCTCCAACGACTTCTTCTCCTCTTTCAACTCCTTTACCTTGTCTTTCCACATTGTCTTTTCTTCTTCATCTCGCCAGCTTCTTCTCTCCAACTTATCTTCCAACTCGTTCAACTTCTCCCTTTAAATTTTCCTCCTTCCCACTCATTCAACTTCTTCTCCGCGTTTTTGTACTCTTTAAATATAATATTTTTATCATTTTCAATTCCTTCCATAGTAAATTCAAAAAAATTTAAAAATTATTTTAAAAAAAATAATTTTTTTATTGATTTAGATAGATCACAATTGTTATAATTTATGCATAATTTCAACCAATGATAAATTAGTGGGCACATGACTTGGAAATTAAAAAAATTTTTTTTTACGAACAATGAATTAAATAAAATGACAAATTTTATTTTAATTCAACTAATACTGTAATAATAGAAAATACATAAATATGTTCTTTGACATTAGTTTCATAACGCAAAATAAAAAAAAATCATTTTAAAGTACAAAAGTATAGTACCATTTTTTTATACAAAGTCGTCAATTAGCAAAATTTGTGACATTTTTTCTCCACAGATCCTTATTGTAGAGTTCACCAATTCATAGACGGATCGTCAATTAACTATTTTTATCTAGAGATAATCCTAAAACAAATAATATCATTATCAACATTACATTGGTAATACAATTGTGGTGTTAAATAAACAAACAATATTGATCCCTGAAATTCTTGGTAATACCAATGTTCACTTTGTCTGGTTTTGTTGCAGTATGCCCCATATAGCTTCTTGTAATTATTGTCAACATGCTTTTGATGAACAACCTCTTTGCATGATTAAACATTTACTTTATTGT